AAACTTTTTGCCGACCTCACCTGTTTTGACACAGTTTCTTTATGTGCAGAAAGTGTCCCCCCGTCGGACAACAGACCCTTTTTCGCTGTTCGTTAAACTGAAAACGAACCGAACTCATAATTAAGCTCATCTCCTTCAAAGGGGATTGTTATGTTTCTTGGCTAGTTAACTAGTAGGTTCTAACTAGTAGGTTAAGTAGGTAGTTAACTAGTAGAATCTGACTATAGGTACTTGAGTGTTAGAGACACTATTGTGTTAGAGACATTATTAGAGACACTAGCATCAGGCGACAGGCTAATTTGAGTCGTTGATGCTATTATACCATAAATTCATGATAAAAATTGCAAAAACCTGAGGGTGGGTTAGAGGTGTTGAACTGATGTTGATGATTCCAAAGGCAGCCGCATCTAAGTGTTACTTCATTTTTGTAGTTCTTAGTTAGTTTGGCTGCTCTCAAGGTTTACACTTACCCTAGCGTGCAGAAAATACGCGCTGTTATTAGCGCGCTTGTTGTGCTTTACTTCAGCCGAATGCAGTGGTGAAATGACATTGCTGCAGATTGTTTGCTCAAATATTGAAATCCACGTATAAAACGTGTCGGTTGACGTAATTGGGGACACCCAATTTTCTGAATAGCCAACACAGCAAAACATGTCTAGAAGTAACATCGGCTTTTTTGTATGATTTCATAAAGCAGGAGTTATTAAAGTAAAACGTGTGAAAAGCCGTAGGTTAGTGTTACTGTGATAGCTGCGCGTTCTGCGTCATTCTTCATTTTGTTACTTTATTTCGTTCTATTTTGGAGTTTCATCAATCTTTTAATGCTTCTTGCTAGATAGTGCGAGAAAAGATCATGGACCCAGTGATTGGGATTTACGTCTAAGCTGGGGAGGGGAGCATCCAAGTGGGTGAAACGATTTCCTTGAGCAAAATGGGGTTCACTTCGTGAGAAGTATTCAACCACCTAACGCTCCTCTACCCGTAAGCTTGAGTAAGAGTCTTCACGTCTGGCTCACAATCATTTATTTGTTCTCTCAACTCTCCTTTCTTTGCTGACCGACTCATTTGACGTGCTTTGTCTTTTTAATTGCCTGAAAGCTTCAACAGATGCTACAATCTCTTGCATCGCGTTTTTTCCTTTAACAGCGCCACCAAGTGTTGCGGTAGAGTGTCCTGCTTCCGCACCTTCTTACCCTCCCAACGCCAACACCCCCCCCGCTGACCTATGGGTAAAATAGAACTTAAAACTAATAAAAATAAAATGAAACGAAACATGACCCAAATAAGTAATAAATAGTTATGATGGATTCCGCGATATTTTGCCGGTTACCTGCAATGCTAAACACATCTGCTCAAATGCAGAATCCGTGCAATGTCTTGAAGATGTTAAGGGTGTGATTGTAATGGTAATGGTGCCTTAACCCATTGACTACGCCTTTTTGGCATCAAGATATTGATGTGTTTTGCGTAGTAGCTAATGCTCCTGGCAACAGCTAATCATCTATAGAAATTTGGCTGACGTGCGCTGTTTGACCTGGGATTTGATCCAGGGACCATGCGCGCGGTAGTGGCCCCTCTTGTCACCACACCATCTCCGCTCGAATGGCTATTTTACAAGTACACATATCAGTATTAAAAGTGTGCCAACCTTAAAAACAATTTTTGGGAACTGCCACAATGGCCACTGGTACGGCTTGCTTTAGTAACTCGCCCAGAGTAACTTGGTGACGATTTGTTGTATCGGTAAGAATTGCAAAATTTCCATTTGTGCACATTTCCGCCATCGAGTGGGCGCTCCCATTTCAATAAGTCCCAGAACAGCGGTAGGGCCTTTGACCACGGAAGTGGTAAACATGTGTACCAGTAGTCAAAGGGTTCATGTCGTTTAGAAATGCAGAATGAAATCATGACTAAATGACATGGATCCCTATTATTAAATAATTTTTTGCTATGCTTATTATTTTCCTTACAAGGGAAGGATGGTAGGTCGAAGTGGCCGTTAAATGAAATGTATACCTCCTGATGCGTCTCCAGACGCTGATTCCAAATCTGCCTTCCAAATCTGCTAAACGACTCTCCGAACGGAGTTATGAAGCGTAATAGCTCAGTGGTGATGGTCCGGGGTGGCAGGTAAAAGCTCGTAGGATCGGTTCCTTTGCAAATTGGTTGCTTTGCTTTTGTCTCTAGAAGTGTTGCGGACAAAAGCAAAGCAACAAACTTGCAAAGGAACCGATCCTACGAGCTTTTACCTGCCACCCCGGACCATCACCACTGAGCTATTACGCTTCATAACTCCGTTCGGAGAGTCGTTTAGCAGATTTGGAAGGCAGATTTGGAATCAGCGTCTGGAGACGCATCAGGTGGTATACATCTCATTTTATACGGCCACTTCGACCTACCATCCTTGCCTTAGCTATTCAGATTTGGTTAGGTCTGTGTCAGACGTCCGCGATTTTTTTGAGCGCGATTTTTCGCTATGGGCGCCGATTTCGCGTTTCGCGAATTTGTGCCGCATTTTTCGCGATTTTCGGCGATCTTGTCGCTGATCTTGCGCGATTTTTCGCGACTTTCGCGATTCTGCCCTGCATTTTCGCGGACTTTTCGCGTATCTGCGCGATTTTTCGGCGATTTTCGCGATTTGCGCGATTTTCGCGATTTTCGCGAAACCTGCGATGGATCACAGGAGTTGGAAGTGCCCGATGAATACTGCGAGGTGTTGTTTAATCCTGCTGCGAATTCTGCTTGGCAGTAAAGATTGGAAGACGAATGTTTGTGGTTCTACTTGTTTCATGTTCAATGTCTATTAGTTCATTGAAATGCTCTTGAATCGTTCCTATTTTGTTCTTTTTTTTTTCAGGAATCAAACCAAACCAATCACAAAAATTGCAAGTGCCCCATTTGAACAATTGAAACACTGGATATGAAACAAGTGGAATCATGAGCAGTCTCCATTAAACCATAACCATCAAGCAGAAGTGAAGTGACGGCGGGGATTGGAGAACACCTTGCAGTATGGATGGGGCACTTTGGTAATTTTCTCACGCTCCCGCTTTCCGTTGTAAGTGGAACAATTTTGAGTTGTTCCAGGGAAGGTAGGGCAATCATCGATTCAAGTTAGTCCTGATTGAGCGGTATAACCCTTGTGCACTAGCTGGGGTGGACACATCCTGTCTCCGACGTGCGATAATGCTCGAAAAAACAATAGCTCGCCACAGTATCCTAGCACTCTCTCACGCCGAGATAACCGCGACAATGCGAAAGAGCGGCCGCTCTATATAGATCGCCAAAAATTTCGCGAGACTAGAATTGCCACTAGCTAGTAAAGAAGTTCGCTGCTTCTATAAATATCGCGACAATCCTACGATGACGGAATCATATTCGACACTGCACATTGCGGTGCAAAAACGCTAGCACAAGAAAATTCTTGTCCCACTCGCTAGTCACACAGAGACATAACCCACTCAGCGTCTTCGAGAAAAATTATCTGCAATATCGCGAGAAAATCGAGCTGCAAGGGTCCCGGCGTATTATAAGTTGCAGACTCTATCACGCCGCGAACAAATCTGAGACGCAAATCACGACATCACACACACTCGCGCTGAAAATGTTAATCTTCGTGACTTTGATCACAAGGGCACTTTATGAGTTGTTGTTACTAATCAGTGAATAAGTCGAGTGTGTCTCGTAATAGAAATTGCGTTTTGATCGTCCTGTGCGCAAGTATATGGTTGATCACGTGACGAACATCACGTCCTTTATCCAACTCGCTGCCGCCGATTCACAGGGCGGTGGGTCTTGAACACACGCTTGTGTGCTTGGATCCAATGAGTGCACGCTCTGCCTGTCATAATATATCCAATTCAGTTTATTTTCGAAAAGGTTTGTATAGTTCCTTTTTAATAATTCCAAATTCTCTTCTGAGTTATTTTTTGGCTCGCCTGGTCTATTCGTTTTTCGTTTAATCATGTGTGTATGCGGATAAGGTGCTCGAATAGCTCGTGAGACACACATGTCCCATTGGCATTTGAAGTACAACGCGAAGCTTTCGTAGCATAGAAGAACCACCCAAGAAAGATCGTTCACGAGAGGGCAGAATTAACGGAGGCAAACATGTGCGAGGTATTGTTACTACTTGTTACTTCGAACGTGAAGAATTTGTATACAAAATTAAAACGCAGGGTTACGGAGAAGATTACGTACAGCCTGGTAATTGAGCTGGTTCAGGGATCTATTCAACTGTTTGGCTTTGCTTAAATATAATTGGTTGTGCGCCCAGTATCTAACATTTGATAGAAGCGATTGCGCTGACCCTGATGGAGATGAGGTTCACGCGCCATCAGGGAAGGGCCCGATATAAGATTGAGATAGGCATTGTCAGGACGAGTTAGCGCTCAGGGATCTTCACGGTTGCATGGAAATTAACATCGAGCTATTATAACTACGATAACTTTCACATGTCAATCACGCAGCCGTACAGCCATTTACACATCCGAAATGTAGGCGGCAAAGAGCTTTGAAAGTTGTTGCAGCGCCGTGAGTAATGTGCCAGTGCCCCTGTGGCGTGTTTCATTGGGTAGGTCTCCTACCAAATCCACTATGTATCTTTCCCAATCGTTCCCATGGGATTTATCGAGTCCCCTTCCTTTAACTGGTGTTAGTATTTGTATGGCGCTTGCGATGTGTCACGCCATAAGTCTACTATCTTTTTTATAGCGCTCAATGATGTGAGAATGATGAGCGATGTGTGATAAATATGTTTACACATTTCACACTTAACAAGCACAGATTTCCAATTTTTTTTTATTTCTGATCAATTACTTTTACTTTTCTTCGCTAAGCAAGACTTCGAATTCATGTTATTGTAGTTTTGTGAATCAGAAACCGCTCTTACTTGCGCGTGTCTTTGTTTGGCATGCTCGCTTTTGTTGGCGTGGACGTTACGCCTTTTACTTTTGCATTGGTTTCGCTTGGGATTCTATGGCAATACTAGTCACTGCTGGATGCGCGAATTGAATGGTGTGGTCAGTACCGCATAGAAATTGGCTTAATAATCTAAACGAAACTCCATGTTGGCTTAAGGGGGGAGGTTTAGTTTTTCTTTCATTGGTTCTATATTACTACTTGCAGGCAAGCGGCGCTAACCAAGGCTCTAACGTCACAAACAACTCTGAGGTATGGCTTTCACTTCCTCTTCATTATTTTCGCTTTCTTACTCAATGGCCGATGTCAGACTTTGCGATTGGAGCGATTTTGCACCAATTGCAGGAGCGACGGATCGCTCCAAAGTGCGAGCGACGGGAGATTTACCCGAGCGGCGCCGTGTGTATCGGTGGTCGGCGGGTAAATCTCCCGTCGCTCCTGCAATTGGTGCAAAATCGCTCCAATCGCAAAGTCTGACATCGGCCAATGTATTTCACCTTAGGGGGGGGGTCATCTTTTTGTTACTATTTTTATTTTTTTAGGATGTTCCAATCGAAGTCGTTGAAGTCGATGAAGAGGTAGCTGCTTGATTTTTTAAAGTTCTCAAATTTCATTTGTGTAATTCATATGCTGATGTTTTTACTTTTATTTCCTTGCATTTGTTTCTATCGTAACATTTTTCTTCTCCATTTGTTTTTTTGTTTAGCCTTCCGGAGAGATTCCAGATGCTCCTTTCAACGAGTCTTTGGATGAGGTTCCACGAGTACCAGTGAGTGTTCCCTTAGTTTTTTCTTGTTCTCTTTGGAGTAATCAGCAATATTTCAGCGACATTCCTCAATAGGAATTGCAAATCATTTGAGCGACGTTAGTGACGAGGAAATGGATCAGCTGCCACGTGCCCGAGGGAACCGACCAGAAATAGACGAACTGGTGGATTGTGATGGCTTCAGGTATATGATTGTCTCCATAAGGCTGGTGCCAGGCTTTGCAAGTCGAATCATACATGGGGTGGGCATGAGAAAGCGAGATGCCTGAAAGCCTGGGAATGCAGCGAAAGCCAAACGTGCAAACGAGGGGTCTCTCGTCGCTTTCAATCGCTGTCGAGTCGCTGGTGCATTGTTCGATACGCTGGCATGTCGTTCGATTCGCTGGTACAACGCTCATACCCGCGATTCGCTAACGAATCGCTGAATTCGCAAAGTCTGACACCGGCCTAACATTGCTTGCCTCTGCCTTGAAAATTTTCTTTCACGGAATACGGGTTGTAGTTTTATCAGTACCGAAAGTAATTGTGCTGCATTAATGATAGTGGTACTGCAGTGCAAAGAGCGGTAGTGATTGGTTTTTTTGCTGAGTGTCTGGCCTGCCAGACTTACTAAATCTTATGTGTCCACCATGTAACGTTAATGCAGTCACATTTCTTCACATGGAAGTACTGTCAGATCAAAGCTCATAGTAGCGTCTACTTACAGCTCGAGCTAGTCATTGAAACCATGTAAACGCCGTGCTTCATCTGAGCTCTCTCGCTCTCGTTCTCCATGACCACCCTGATTTCTCAATTAAATTTTTGCCACACGTTGAGTGTTTCATCACCCACACCCCTTCCAGGCATGGAATTGGGCCCTTGCGTTTCCCTTTCGCCATGTTTGAAGCTGAGTCAGCTGTTTTCTTTCAGGCGCCTGCACTGTAGCATTTAGTGGCGGTAAACTCATTGGTTTTCATCAAGGCTTCAACTGACTATTTTCGTGTGCCGCCTTGGGTTTTACTTGCTGCAGTTGATACGATACCTGCGGCGAAAATTGCATGGGATTCCTTTGGTTTGTGGTCAATTTGTGATCTGGTCCACTGTGTGCAGACTTTAGTGTTGTGGAGACTTGTGGGGAGGTCTTCGAAATGGCAGGATTCTTTAAATTACTCACTTGCTCAGTTTGAACAATCATGAAGGTTGCCGGAACGAGCAACAATAGAAACGTTTTTTAATTTAGGGAATATGTGGTGCAGCTCACTTTTTCCTTGATGATGGTGTAATGCATGCTAGACCGAGTCATTGTTTTTTTATGAAGCTATGATTAATGCTTAATCAAATTCATTTATGCCACTGAATACCAGTGTCACTATTGGTCCTTTCTCTTGTCCCTTCCTCTCTCCAATAAACGGATTTATAGTTTTTGTGCAGGGATGCAAATGCTTGTGAAGCTTTGGCCCTAATTTTGCCGTGGCCTTGTTACTTACTTCAAACTTACTCGGATGTGGAAAAATAGTTTGAACTGAAAACAAACTTATTGGTCATCTACTCCCATTTAGTCTTCAAGACGCCACGTGCTCCTTAGAAAGGCCCTATTTTTCCTGCACTTATCCAGGATTCTGATAGACTCGATCATGAAGTCTTATTTAGTTTTGTACCTCCCTGTTTTCTAGAAAATCTCAAGGGAAAAATGATTCTTCAAAGATTAATGTAACATTTCCTAGGAATGGCGCTGGACGTGCGTCTTCAATACCACCCGAATCCCCTCCAGGAGAAAGCTTTATCTATGGGGTAAGTTGGTTTCGTTTTATGATGTTAAATAATTTATGTTGGGTCTTTTTGTGGTCTATTGGGGTTTTTCTTGCAGGGTCAGTCTTCGCTTTTTGTCAATAAAAGAGCTGGTCCGAGTACATCTGATGAAGTGAATGGTATGCTACGGAAGCCTCCTAGACAGGTAAAATCTCCAGTTCATTTGCATTCACGGAGTTTAATTCTGTTCTGCTACTACTTGTTGGACTTTTTTTTAGAAGTTTTGAGGAATTGCGTATTTTTTTTACCAATATCATAGACTACATCGTGTTTGTATGCCGGATTTTGCCTACTATGGTGTTCTGCCATGAAATTGCACCTTCAAGTCCTGCGATAAATGAATTAGTTCCCTCCTTTAACTCGCCCTTTTCTGGTCTGACAAGTAAGCAAGCTACCCATTCATCGTTCAATGTAAAAGGTCGCAGTTTGAAACTCCGTCCGTATGTGAAGCGATATTTTCTAGAAACACTAATCATACACGAGATTTGCTTGTCTGTGTGTTCACTTGAGCAAGACATGTCCTAAGTGCTTCGGGAAATGGAAAAATCGTTTCGGTTGTTGATAGGAAAGGTAGCATCACTCGCAGTGTACTTACAATAATAACGCGCTATAATAAAACCTCGTTTTCGCTTAAGGTTTACCTGTAGAAAAAAGTCACTCCCCTTTATATTTAAGACGAAATCAACTACACTTTGAAAACTTCAAACCGACCGAGTCGGACTGGAAATTGAAGAGCACACTTCCATTCTATCAAAAACTTCTGTGAAGTCTATCTTTTCCGAGACAGAGTTCACTTCCTCTAACGTGGGCACGCGTACGGCCGCAAGCGAGTGTCTGTCGACATGCATCCCGTAGACCATTACAATATTATCTGAAACGCTGCTCGAAAGAGGTTTCGCATGGTTTGAGCTACCGTATCTTGAAAGCATCTAAATCTTCTGTCACTAGTTAACTTATTGATGAAATATGTAGCAGCTTCAGGCTTGGAGCGATTACGGTAGGCCGCCTCGAGTTCGACTGTAATGACAGATGACGTCGTATCTTGAGTACGGTGAGGGTAGTGAAGGTGGGCCTGCTTCCGCTTATGGGGAGGGGGGGAGGCATCCGAGAAATATTTTGCCGTTTAAAACATCCAATCCGACGCGGCACCTGCGTGCGAAAGTTTTTCTTATGTGAGGCATGGGCAAAAAGACTTTTTTGCACTCCTGTATGTGTATAGTTTGAGCACCCGTTCGAGACATGTTATATTAGGAAGGTTGGCTGGAAATAAGAAAACATGGAACTAAAGATATTCATGTGACAGAATTTTGTGGTAAAATTTGAAGACCTCTCCTTCAGGCAGCGGGACGGGATCGAGAAATTTCCCGCTCACCACCTGCACCACCTTCTACACCTCCACGGGACGATCGCCGAACAAGGCTTGAGAATCTCAAGAAGCTGAATTTCTCTCAAGCTACAAAGTACAAAATGAAAGAAAGGTAGTTTCCATTTTTTGCGATTTTTCTCTTTTCTTTGTTGTAGTATCGTGGGAATCTTTCTTGGAGAGATTTTTATCCTCAAATCGTAGTTGATTCACCTTGGCAAGGTGAATTCTGCAAAATCTTGAAACTATCGCTTATTACTTTTCATGCATATGCTTTTTGACGTTTTGTTGTAGCGGCTTTTCCCTATTGAAGCTGTACTGGACAAATGCTTCTATGCATTGATACTAACTTTTAAGCTATGAGATAAGTTTCTGGGTGGTGTGTTGGCAGTTCCTAGTGAGTTATATCCTTTCGGTCACCCTTGGTTATCAGTATTTTGAACATACAGTCAGCTCTGCGCCTTGAGACTGATCGTTTCGCAGCCTGAAGATCGTGATATCGTAAATACCTTTACGCGCTGGGTTACAAGGCTTCTGTCAACCAGGGGGTGAGAGTGTAGAAGGAAAGACGTTCTTTGTTGTGGTGTGGACTAAGCCTTTTAAAGGAGGTAAAGAAAGCGGAGATTCTGTAATAGTGCGCTTGTGTGAGAGCTCCCAGACAGCACAACAAAACGCTGAATTGCCTAGCCTCACGGTTGACAGATGTCCGGAGACCTACCTTGCTGAGCGAATAAGTGCAATTGCACCACGTTTCCCAGTAGTAATTGAATACCGTCGTGCATCAAGGCACCTCGGCAGCACTTCTTCATTTTCGAATATTCACTTCCGACCCTATGTGAATGATGAAATTGTGATGCTTTCTCTATCACATCTCAACGATGAGTGAAGGGAAATCGTATACAAAGGCGTATCAAATCGGCATCTGGAACGCGCCCCCTACGAGCCTGATTCTTTTTTATTTGAAGCTTTTTTTCGTGAAGGCAGAATACGAGCTTGTAGAGCTGTCGCGGATCGCAAAAATGTCACATGAAGCCAGAGCAGCTGATGACTTTTTTATCTGTTTTTTTCGTTGCGTTCTGTTGCCTCGTTTCTTTCATCTTTCGATTTGTCTTTTCTCTGGTCGTTTCGTAGTTACGTCGCATCATTGAGAATTCTGCGCGCACTGAATTGCATTATGTAGCTGTATCTTTGATATATTTTAGAGGCAGCATTCTCTGTGCCAGCGCTTCCAAGCTTTGTTTATGTGTCGTTTTGGCATGATGTTCCTCGCTCTTCGTCGTTTGTGGTTAGTTCAGGAAGAAGCAGTCGTTTAAACTCTTCAAAACTTCCCTGGACTGTGTCACCGATGGAATCTTTGCATACTTTGTATTCCATCCTTTTTGCATGTGCTTCTTTCCCTAGTTATAGTGTTAGTGCGCATGGTGAGAGTGGATGTGACCGGAAAGCATCATTGCCGGAAATATGTTGACTGGACCTGCTTTGCAGAACAAGAATGCACTCTCCAAGGTGACCCATGCAACAGAATTTGTTGTTTTGATCCGGCGATGTGGAGGTATTCTCAGGGCATCGATTCAGGCCCACTGGAGTCTCGCTGAATGCAAACCTATCCAAAGTGGAAGTACGCATATGTTTTAGAACTGTTTAAACAGCGTTTCGATATTCAATTACGAGAACGCGTTTTCGTGCCGCTCTGATAAATTTCGATGGATGCACTTTGCATGCAGGAACGCCGAAACATTTCGGGCTTCACTGCATATTGTTGTAGTATATCCGTTTCATTTCATGAGCCACAAAATATAGATGAGAATCCCCATGATAAGATGAGAAAATATCCAACGGAGCTTTGACACATTGGAAGGTTCGATAAGAACGGCGTTTTTTTTTTCAAATGGGAATTTTCCTATGACTTCCTCTCGCCATTTCTACATTACGTGGTCTACCTTTCGAAAGAGAATTGAATGCTCTATAATAGTGTTGGTTTCTATAAAAAATCAGTTAGGAACAGTTCGAAGTTTGTGCGTTCGAAATGTGGTGTCAGTCGACGAAAATTAGCCAAATAGGCAATTATGAGGCTGTCGCGATAGTTTTGGACACAAAATTGCAATAACAAAACGAAAGGTCGTTGATCCTGACAAAGGTCCTTCCTAGTCACGATGTCTCTCCATCGATTGTGCAGAGCACTGATACTCTTTGCCTAGAAGGAAGGGATGCGAGACAATGTCACACTTGACACCCTTACAGTGCTTGTATTTTTTCCCCTAGGTTAACGTAAACGTTTGAAAGCAGCCAAAGGAAAGATTGAGGTGAATGTGTTGCATAGTGCATTTAGATGATGCCCAGTCTTTCCAGCTGCTCATCGTTGTTCCCACTGGTGTAGTCGCGCGTAGACTGGGCGCACGCATAGTCGGTCGTCCGACAGCAACGATCGCAACTGTCTGACTGTCTGACCGCATCTAATGCGTCGAATTACTCAGCACAGTCCGACGATTCGATACGCATTTCATTGCTGCGCTTCAGTTAGATCCGTTGCTGGTCGGACGCGAACTATCGTCTGCGCCACTGCGAGTGTCAGACTCTCGACGTGCACATTTTGCACCTAATTTCCGGAGCGTCGGATTCGCTTGAGCGATTTTCGTCCTCTGAGTCTGGTGCAAAATCACTCCAATCGCAAAGTCTGAATAGGCCACTATTCACAATGGGAAACTCCCTGACCTTCGCGTATAATTGAGGCTCGGGCACACCAATAACTCACTCTTGTCGCCGGGAATTATTCTCAGTGGTCACATTGACTTCGAATATAACTTATGTAGATGCCAAGATAGGAGCGGTAGTAGAAGAGACGATATTCATTCTTTTCTGCGGTAAGATGCCTTCGGTGGTTGTGATAGTCTGTCTTGTTTGACTCTCGAATATTTAGCTCTTCAATTCCTATATTTTTCAATAATGATAATCACACTTTTCCATTAGTGAACATATAGGGGGTCTGCCGAGTCACGTCATGAGCTTACATTTGGGCCATCTGAAACACGTTCACCCTAAAATTAGCACTTCATATGGACGAAGAAGATGGTGAATATTCGGCGAAAGTTAGATTAAAAACTTTTTCTGAGTTACTCGGGTATTGTGCGACGTGATCGTACTGATTCCGCAAACTTATTAGGACCATGATTGCTATAGTGGTGGAGGATAAGTACAGCGTCGCTATTGCTCGGTAGAGGGCTCCAAGGAAGTGCATTAATGAAAACTCCCAGATTGTATCAGCTATCGCAGGTATCGAGTAGGGTGAAGTTACCCATCGACGACCACAACTCGACCTGGGTTCGAGTGGCAGAGCGTTCAGCACGGTCGGAAGGTATCCATAGTAGTGTGGTCGCATATCATTCGAGCAACGTTAAATTGCTGCTAGTGACAAAGTGAAATTTCTTTACCTGTAGACACAGTCCTTCTTGAGATGCTCTTTTACCTACCATTTTTTGTATTTGTTTTGCGCATTCGCACGTTACACGTCCAAATAAGGGGCAGTGTTTTTTCAAAACCTTTGTGAATACTAGAGAATCAAACTCCATGTTCCATGAGAAAAATTGGGTGTGGTTCACTAGGACAGAAAGCGACTTTTTCGCGTTTCGCAGCGCGAAACATTTTTCGCTGCGGGAACCTCAGGTCCACCGCTGATCATCAGTGGACCTGAGGTTCCCGCAGCGAAAAATGTTTCGCGCTGCGAAACGCGAAAAAGTCGCTTTCCTAGTGAACCACACCAGAAAAATTCAGTGGGAAAGAGAATGTGTTCAGATCTTAACATGCTGCTACTGGGTTGTTTGAAGAGGCGTGTAGTTTGAATCCGGATATGGTTTCACTGATTGTCTGTTGAGCTGTGGCGATTCTTTTAAGGCAGAAATTTTCCTCTGCAAGTCACATGTTTTTGCACTTCATATACCATTGGGAAGCTTATTCCTGCCTCATATAAATATGTGTTTTCTGAAGGAAAATCATAGTCAGTGAAGAACGCACCCTGTTCTAGGGATTACAACTTTTTTCACACCAGTTTCTTTTTTTTTCAGTCTCATCCACCAGTTTCTTCAACGCCTCTGTGGTGAAAACTTTTGTGTTTAGATTCGACAAGGTAGCGGCTAGCCATTGGGTTCTGGCGGAAAAACCTACTTTCAAACACAAATGACGCGGCTTTCCAGACGACCCATCAAGGGGGGAGGGGGTGAGAAGAGGTCGTGATTGAGTACACGGTTTATCACTCATTAGTTTTCTCCAGTGGCACCTAGAGATTGAGCCAGTTGCCGGTCTGGCTATCTTTCTTCGACCCTACCTGCCATTTCGTACGTCTGAAGTTCAGTCAATCCGCAACGAATATGGGAAGTTTTTCATGTAGAATTGACAATTCTCCTCAGAAGATATAACGGTCGATGTAAAAGCAAGAAGTTCAGAGGAAAATTGTGATCTGAAGAAGCGTAATGATTTTTTCTCAGTTGTCGAAAAAGCATATGACTTATCAACAAACGACAAACTAAGACATTATCAGCTCGCAAGTCATCTTTGATGCCAATTGTACATCCAAATGGTTCCACGGTTCTGAACAGAAGGCAAATGCGTTTCATACTGATTTTCCATCAAATACGAACTCA